TCACACAGCTCTATCAGCTGACTCTGCCCCCTTCTGCGATTGTGAAAGCCGAGGTCTAAAGCTTTCAGCCTGGTTGGAGGTACATTTGACCAGGAACTGCAGTCAACCCCCTGTGCTCTAGAATGCTGATGTTTGTGCTACAGAAGGTGTTTTTGACTTTTTTTTTTTCTACTTCATGTATGAGCTGCTCAAGGGCTTGCAGTAAAGCAGAAACTTTTAATGGAGCTGTGTCTGGTTTTCATTTATTTATTTATTTATTTATTTATTTATTTATTTATTTAGCTTTCTTAGGCCCTATGGAAGTTTGAACCTCACAATGGTACACCAAAATATTGTTGGTTATTTTTTTTAACTCTTTACTTTTTGGGGGGCCCACCACTAAGCTCCCAAATAATCACACAAAGACTTACTTTTTCTTATGAATGTCTGGCCTTAACTTGGTTTGTTTCTAGCCAGCTTTTTTTTTTTAACTTAAATTATCCAATCTACCTTTTGCCTCTGTGCTTTTATCTTTTATCTTATATCTATTCTATATTTTTTACTTCTTACTCTGTGGCTTGCTGTGTAGCTGTGTGGCTGGTCCCTGGTGACCCCTTTACTTCTCCTCTTGTTCTTGCTCCTCTGTCTTCTCTTCCTAGATTTTTCCTCCTAGTTTTTTCTCTCTGTCTGCCAGCCCTGCCTATCCCTCTCCTACCTAGCTATTGGCCATTCAGCTCTTTATTAGACCAATCAGGTGTTTTATACAAGCAAAGTGACACCACTTCACAGAGTTAAACAAATGTAAAGTAAAGGAATGCAACTCATATTTGCATCATTAAACAAATGTTCCACAGCATAAACAAATGTAAAATATCTTCAACTAATATTCTATAACTTATCTGTGCAGTAGAAAAAGAATTATTGGTTCTTGGTTATATCAATAATCCACTGAAACACATTTTTTCTGGTGATTCTTTTGTAGGAGATGTTTAGGAACCACATTTTAAACAGAGACACAGAAGAAAAACTGAGAAAAGTAGTTTCCTTATTCTCATTCATTTATCATACCTACAGTATCAGCAAATTCTATTGGTCTTATCTTTAGTCTCTGGAATATCACTACTTCTCTTCTATAGCTGTTGTTATCATGTTAGTCCAAATATCTGCTATTATCAATCATTGTTTCAGGACTTTTTTCCTTCTGAAATAGTGTCTTACTAGATTGTCCAGGCTGGCCTTGAACTCATAATCCTTCAGTCTGTGTCTACTGAGGGCTGGAATTGAAGGCATATCAATTGGTGGTCCACACGGACCACTGTGATTCTTGAATAGGCTAACTAACTCATATTCTTCTACCATTTTTCCATGATGCTTATTCTCAAACCAATAGGCAGGTGTAAGGTGCCGAACGCTATGCCAATCCCAGAAACCCTGTCCAGAATATCCCACAATGATGTCCCATTTTACTCCTCTCCATGTTCAAGCTCCATTGAATTCCTGTTTCTCAAAGACTCAAGAGGAATTCCAGTCATATTCTTTGTTCCAGAGATTACCATGGCCCTCCCTGTTACCTCCTATAGACCAGCCTTGAGCTATTTTGGTGGTCTCTTCTATACCACCTTGCCTGAAATGATAACCTCTTAGCTGACACTGCTTCTTTCTTTCGGATAAAATAACATATGCTTTCCTTTTAAATTTTGATTATTAGCTACCTGCACCACAGATGAGTACCATGATTACAGGGATTTTTTTTATACAATTCCACTTTGTTCTAATTTTAGACACTAAGAAACTACTGGGTGTGTGATGAACTCTTGATAAATATTTCTTGAATAAAGAAATGACCTACAGATGGCTGTTCCATACTTCATAGACAATGTGTGGCACCTCTCAAACATTTCCTCTAGGTAAAAACATCCTCCAAGAGCGTAAACATAAGCCTTATCTCTGAAAAATAATGGATGATGAATTAATCACCACAAATGAGAGAGATGCAGCAGCTATTTACATGTCATTTGGTACTTGGTTTTTCAGCCCATAGTTAAATTTCAAAATGGGCCAAAGAAAGGAGAGCAAAAAAATTGGCACATAATTGAAAATAGGGATGAAAATCCAGTTGAAAATGTTCAGGAGGGATTCCATAGAAGACTCAGAGAGACTGAAGCCGTGATGAGACTCCTCCCTAAAAGATGCTCACTGACAATTTGGCTGCTCAGCTTCAGACTTGGTGTTAGGACGTTGTCTCTCAGTTCTCAAGGAAAGTGGGGTGTATATAGTCTTGATTTAAATGACTGCTTTAGGAAATTTCAGTTTTATAAAAGAATGTGAATCAGTTTTAGATATATTTGAGCCTGATTTCTGTAAAATATGAAAAAATGGAGATTTTCCTTCATTTTAATCTTCTTGTTCAAAGAGTTGCTTGTCCAACTTTCTGGCTTTATCTTTATTTTTTTAGCTGGAATGGCAGGTTAGTTTTGGAGATGTGTATTCCTTCTAGTGAAGGTCATTTGCTTAGTTTATGCCTTTTAGAAAGAAAAATGTCTGTTCAAATGATGAATGATTTGTTTTACCCTCCAAGGAACTTCCTTTGTATGAGTCCAAATTCCTCAGTTCATTTCATCAGCTAAACAATTGGCTCAGCGGATCTTCAATTCAATGTAAAAACAATCCCCTCTGCATTAATAAGAATTTTTATTTCTAAAAGAATGGGTGATAAATGCCTCAAAGTAAATGTTTTCATATCAATTTGCATTCTAATGCCTAAGTAATTTTCAGAAAACAAAATGGTTCCTGTACACTTTCAGATTTCTGGAAAGTGAGAGTGTGATAGGAACAGACTTCTGTTCAATGTGAACTCATCTCTGTCCACTAGAGTTCTCACCAGAGTGGTGAGCCGGGGCAAGAATGAATGAGATCAGGCTGTCTGAAGTGACCTAGCAAGTCCCTTTGAAATGAACCTGACTTACAGTCATTATTTCAGTTTGAGATAATGTAATTATTCTAATAGCCTCACCCCCCACTTTTCTGCTTTACGATGTACTACCTTAAATCAGTTTATTGACAGGGGAGAGTGAGACAAATCCCTGTCAAGACGATAGACTGAATTCCCCCACCACAGACTTGTGATCATTTTATGTGACGATAGGACTGTAATAGCGGATAATATTTCTATTGCATTTTATGTTTTACAAAGCCCTTGAGACACATTATTTCATTTGATATTTCTCAACTCTATGTCTCAGCAATTATCATCAAAAATCATTCACTGATAAGGAAATAGAATATAAAGTTTTGTCAAGACATGCAGCCCGTAGTTGTATTCTCAGAGCTCAGGCTTAACTCTTCAGTCTCCATCCTTTCTGTAGTATAATTATTTAATTTTACTTTTTCTCCACCACCATGAAAAGAAACACTAGGAGGGAGAAATAATGTTGCTAACCCTTTTTTGAGATAATGTCTGAAAGGTAGTAAGTGATGGGAGTGGACATTAAATCTGGGCATACAGGCTAAAAACTTTAATGCATATTCTACAGGGGGTGATATGTTGCTATTCGTGATATGAGAAAGATCAAAGAGTCTAAAGGCTGCTCATGGGGACTACAGTTGATGAGGAAGAGAGGGAATAATACCCAAGAGAATATGGGACATTGGCACATTCTGCATCAGGACACTTACTATCGCATCCACCAGTCCATGCCAGCACTGAATGGAGATATTAACCAAAGGAAACACTTTTGAACCATTATGGGAAGTAACATGATGTGTAGAGAAATTGTATAACTTTCTAATTTGAAATCCTGTTTCTCTCCCAATCAAACTGCAAACTCCTTAGAGGTCAGGAAACTGTAGGTTTTGTCTTTCTGTTCCACTCACATTATAAACATTGGTAACAACCGATGAGACAGTTTTAGGTTCTTGATAGTCGCTCATTTAATTTTTGTTAAGAATCCTGTACAATTGTATTATTGTATCTCACTCCCTCTTGTTTTTACAGATGAAGAAATGATCCCATAAATTAGGAAATGACAGAAAGGGACTCTAAGAACGGGAAGAAGGAAAGGAGTGGGAGGAGGGGAAAAAGAGGGGGAGTTTGAGAGAGAGAGAGAAGGGAAGGAACAAAAGGAGGAAATAGGAAGACAAAGGAGGTGAGGAGGGAGAAGAGACACCACAGGATAATGACCACTCAGGAGCAAAAGCCTACTTAGGGTTCTGTCCAGATCTAGCGATTAATTTAAGATTGTACCTACAATCTGGGCACAAGCAAGCCGGAGGAATTTGGGATTTGGGTAACTCTTGACCATTTTAGTGCAGCACTCCCTACTTCCTGTTTTTTGGTTTTGTCTGTTTTTGTTTGGTTGGTTGTTTGTTTGGCTAGTCATCCTATCTCTCACATTTAACACGGCATTAGTGGGAAGGAATGACATATCTTGTCTGAGAACAGACAGTTCTCTCTCTCTCTCTCTGCTTTTCTTTGGAGTTTGGTAGGATGTTGTGCCAACCTGGGCTTGTTTACATGTGAATTGGAGCATTAGGTCGTCTGGCTGTTCCTTGAGAACTGTAGTATTTGTTTCAGTTTAAGGTCTGCAGGTGCCCCTTTACTCTTTGAATGACACTCTGCTTGTGTTCTGTCCTGTAGGGTGAGTTCCACAGTCAAAGAAGACTGGATCTAGAATCCCGTGTCTAGTTGTCCAGGCCATAACTTTACTATGGCCTTAGTTTCCCACTTTATGTTGTCCTAAAATAGATGTGTTATGATGCTGAAAAAAATTGTATGCGAAACCATGTTTTTCAACTGCAAGCACATTACGAATCTGCAGTATTGTATTCTGTATCATAAACCTCGACTTTGTTCTTGAATAATTTACATGTTTTCTATTTATTTTACTTTGTGGTTCTTCTTGCTTTGCCCCACCTCCACCCATTATTTCTCAAAAGAAATAGGTATGCAGGGATCCTATAAATAGTATTTGCAAGCAGGCTGCCTCCTGATAGATTCCTCTTACTTTTTTCTTCACTTATAGAACTCTTCAAAACTGAAAAACATCAAAAGTAACAAGACATGATGGAAGCCACTGGGAGAGTGAACATAAATGTTGCAATGGAAAAGGAAACGTAGCCTTCTAGCTGAAAAACAACAATTCCCCAACGGACTCTAGAAGCATCTGGACTGGCCACTGCAAAGACAAAAACAACCTTAGAAGTTTTAACACATAAAGCTCAAAGGGAGACCCATGATATGGAATTGAAATTTTCTGTTTCCTAAAACCCACACGTGCTGTCTCCTTTTTGTTTAAGACATATTTATTTAATGTGAATATTTTTATGTCTCTTACTTTTGCTATCAGTAATTAACAATTGGAAATAATTTTACACTTCAATTATTAAGCAAAATCCTATTTTACAAGTCTAAACTCTCACTGAATTTTCACCTTTTTTTCTAGCGATTTTCTTCCCATTTTTCTAGTGTTATCATCATTTCTACTAAGACTCAAGGAAAATTAATTACATCTGAGAATGACTTAGAGTGCCCAAGTTTCTTCTCGGGTTCCCTGGGAACTGCGAAATGAGTTTGACCTCACATTTTCAATTTGTTTTATAAATACACTGTAAATAAATGTCAGATCTCAGCAGCCAAAGCCATCATGAATCACAGAACCTTTTCTGACCTCCTCCTTCTACTTCTAAAAGGAAGAGTCCCTGACTGAAGTATCACCCAGGTTCTAGTAATCTACCTTGTATTTTATGAACTATATTCTTGACAATGCTTTAAATGGATGCTTATTAAGATTGTAGCAAACCATTTAGTTAACCATAATATTTGATGGGAAGAAAAAGGCAATATAATTGTAATGAGCCATATAAATATAGTTGACAGAAGCCAAAATGATTCTTAATGAATAAATAATAGAATAGTACTTATAGTTATATGTCTGTAAGAATTAAGGGCAAACACATTTTTATAAGTTTTCTTATTATGTATTAAACATACAGGAATAATATTACTTTGTCTCTAACAACACAAAGAGATTGAGAATTTTTCTAGTTAGGTTACAGAGAGAATAGTGAGAAGTCTTAGGTTTTGTTCATAGGTCAGACTTTTTGCAGAACTTGATTCTGGTCTCATAATTAATTTATAAGTTGGGAGAACTTAACTTGATGATTTAGTACTTAAGAGTCTCTAAAAATAATAAATCATGAGGTAATTTTCATTATATAAATAATCGAAGCTAGAGATCTTTCATACAATGTTTATATTTTGATTTCTTATCTCCTCTTTTTTCTCTTTAAGTAATAACAAATGCTGGTTTCAGTGCTTTGAAGATTGCTTAATGATTTAATAATAATAATAATGTTATAATATCGTGTGTTGTCTGCAATTTCTAAAATTTTAGGAGATTGTTTAACTTTTACCTGTTTTTTCCAGTTTATACCTGTTTGAGCAGGAAAATTATAAAGTTTATGTCTCTTCATTTTAGTATTTGAAAATCATAGAGAATCACACAGTCTGGGAAAGCTATACTATGGGTGATCTGGGACCAATAAAATTTGTCATTTTTCAGGTAACATTGAGCACTGAATATTTTGTTTGATATATGAGCACAATTGAACTTGTACTTTTTGTAAGTCCATGTGTTTGACTAAAATAAGAAAATGAACTCTCTTCCTTTGGTTGTGAATCATCGAGGGCTTTCCACTGGAAATCATGTCTAACATTTCTAACTTAATGTAAGTCCCTCTGCAAACTCTGCTTCTAGTTGTTCTGATATCAAAAATGTAATAAACTTTATGACCTGTCCATGACCTTGAAAAGTTGGAAATAAAATTTCTGTTTTTTAACTTGTACGTGTTTCTGGCCATGATTAACTGTGAAACAACTTACCTTCTCCAACAATTAAGCAAAAATATTCTTTAACTAGAACTGAAACCAGTTTTTCACCACTGAGGGGGCTGCCTGTTTTAAAGAAGTCGGGAAGAAAGAGTTCCCCCTACATTCCTACCCACTGTGGGTTTGCAATGTTGGGCCCAGTCGTGATGACCTAATTTCACAGCATAGTCATGTTGCAAAAATAGGTGTCAGAGCTCCTAGTTACTAATCCTACTAGTTAAAAAGCTGCCTTCCCTAATATTGAATCATTTTCAATATTGAAATTTGAAATGTTTGAGGGATGGTGTCTCAGTTAGGGCTACTACTGCTCTGATAAAACACCATGACTAAAAGCAACTTGAAGAGGAAAGCGTTTATTTCACTCACAGCTCCATATAACAGTTTATCATCAAAAGCAGCGAGGGCAGAAACTCAGGCAGGGCAGGAACCTGGAAGCAGGAGCTGATACAGAGGCCACGGAGGGGTGCTGCTTACTGACTTGCTCCCCGTGGCTTGCTCACCTTGCTTTCTTAGAGAACCCAGGACCACCAGCCCAAGGGAGGCATCACTCATAATGGGCTACCCTCTACCCTATCAGTCGGTAATTAAGAAAATGCCTTACAAATGGATCCTACGGGAGCATTTTCTCTCAATTGAGGTTCCCTACTTTCAAATGACTCTGACTTGTCTCAAGTTGACATAAAACTAGACAGAACAGATGGCACCTAAGAAGGCTAGTGTTGAGTAGCCAGGACAGATGGCACCTGGGAAGGTTAGTGTTGAGTAGCCAGGACAGATGGCACCTGGGAAGGTTAGTCTTGACTTGTCCACTTGACATGATCTAGAATCACCTGGGAGACAAGCCGCTGGTAACACCTGTGAGGGATTGTTTAGACCAGGTTAGCCTCTGAGCAAGCCTGTGAGGGATTGTGTTGATTGGGTTGATGGAGGTGAGAATGACCACCTTAAAGGGAGGCAATAACATCCCCTGAGCTTGGATGCAAATAAGGAGGGAGCTAGCCGAGCACCAGCATGCAACTCCTGCTGCTTCCTGACTGCAGGTGCAGTGGGACCAAGAGCCTCACTGCTCCAACGCTGCACCCCACAACTTCCCTGACTTCAGGAACTACACCTGGAACCTGTGCCCAAATAAACCCATCCTTCCTTACACTGATTTTTTTAAGGGAGGTTTTTTTTTTGTTTTTTTGTTTTTCATAGCAACAGAAAAAATACCTAAGACAGAAAGGAACTATGAAGGTGAAAAAAAAAAAAAAAAAAAAAAAAGAAAAGAAATTTCTTTGAAACAGACTGGCTAGATTCTCACAACAAGACTTTACTGTAAAAATTGTTTTAAGCTGAAAGTCAACATTTAATGTGTCTTTTGGGTTGTTACATCACAGTGTAGTGAAGTGGCTGCTAAATTGGAGAGAATGTATGAATTTGTGGGAAGAAAGACCTGGAACTAGACTATACATGGACCTTGATAATTTAGAATACTAAAATTGGAATCCAAGAGATTGAATATATTTTTTAAAGTTTTACCATCAAAATATTTGTAGGATTTTTACCACTTTCTGCTTCCACTTCTGTTATCATTATTCAAATGTCAACCGACTCCTTTGGTCTATTTTGATAACCCTGCAATATCCTCCCCATTCTTGTTCTTGATACAGATCAAGCTGTTCCACTGCAGTATTCGGAACAGGCATATCACACCATGTGTCACACAAGCTTCCCACTTCACTCAGAATAAAAGTCAAAATGTCTAAAATTATTTACACTGTCGCCCATGGTCTAGTCCCTTATACTTCTCTGATACTTTTCTCACCTGCCTGCGAGTATCCCTCTAGCCTTCCCATGGTCCATCAGCTATGCCAAGACCAGCCCTGGCTTGAGACCTGTCTTAGTTAACGGTTTCTATTGCTATGAAGAGACACCATGATCACGGCAACTCTTATAAAGAAAACATTTCATTGTGGTGGCTTGTTTATAGTTTCAGAGGTTCAGTCCACTATCATTATGGTGGTAAATGGCAGTGTGTAGGCAGACATGGTGCCAGAGAGGCAGCTGAGAGTTCTATATCTTGCAGAGGCAACAGGAAGTGGTCTGTCACACTGAGTGGTATCTTGAGCATATAGGAGACCTCAAAATCCACCTCCACAGTGAGTGACAGAGTTCCTCCAACAAGACCACACCCATTTCAACAAGGCTACACCTCCTAATATTGCCACTCCCTTTGGGGGCCATTTTCTTTCAAATCACCACAAAGCCTTTGTGGTTGTTCTTCTCCCTGTTTTGAAAGTCTTCTACTCAGCTCTCCATGAAGGTCACTACCTCACTTCTTTAAGTTTCTATCTGCCTATGACATTCTCTCTGCAGCCTTCCCCATCACTTGTCTGAGATTTTACCCTCAACTCATCCTGGCCCTTCCCATTTTCTTCCCTGTTTTAGTTTTTCCATAATTGGGTCTACCTGTTACCTATTTCATACATCCAGTTTATTTTAATCTCCCTGGCACACAAATGTAAACTTCAAGAGGACAGGAATTTCTGTTTTGTTTGTGAACCACTAACTAAATACTTAAAAGGAGTATTTGGTTCTCAATGTATTTTTACTGAAGGAATTGATGAAAATTAAGAAATGAGATCAGTGCCCAAGTGTAATCTTACATATTTTCCCCAAATTGAATTAATATTTCACATGTTATTTGCTGGGGGAAGTCTTTCTGTACACTGCAAATATGTGTTGTTCCCATGGGTTAATAAATAAGCTGCTTTGGACTATGGCAAGGCAGCTTAGAGGCAGGCGGGAAATCCAAAGAGAGACAGGAAAGAAAAAGGCAGAGTGAGGGAGGCTCCAGTTGTCCTAGGAGCAACATGTAATGGGATGCAGGTAAAGTCACAGAACATGTGGTGATACATAGATTAATAGTTATGGGTTGAGTTAAACTATAATAGCTAGCTAGCAAGAGGCCACACAGCTGATAATTATATCAAGCCTCTAAATAATTATTTTATAAGTGGCTGAGGAACATGGGACCACTGGGCCAGGTGAGACCTGAGAAAACTTATGGCTACAGTTATTTGAACTAATATGTGTGTGTCAGTGCATGTGTGTGTGTATATATTTACATTTTATTACATGTATATATGCATATATTACATGTATATGTGTGTGTATATATATATACATATATATTCTGAAAGCATAACAGATAAAGTTAATGAGTTCATTCCTATTTGAGAAAGCTTTAAGCAGTTTATGTGTATTAAAAGCCTATAATAAAGATTTTATTTCAAACCATGTTTTACCTGCAAAGGACTCTGAAACAGAAAGAGATAAATAAACTTACCTGAATTTATTCACATTCTTACTGTAGATAATTTTTCTCTGTGGCCAGACCTGACAAGAGTATACTGGTTAATGCCTGGAGCTTTGCCCACTGGGAGGATTTCTCCTTACCATTGCCTTTCAGGTTCACCTCCAATGGGAAATTAGGGTATCAATAATCCACTTAGGGCCTCTATTAATCTAGCATGTTTACTGATCCATATAACAGTGTGATTCATTTTATTAGTTGCTTAGAGAGAATTTCCTCATGAGCTGAGCGGGAGTATGGACACATGGTAAAAGTCTGGATCCCCCGTTCATACAGCTCACTTGCATCATTTTGGCTCATTCACTTCTAAGCTCATATGTACCTCATGTACCACTTGTATCTTATGGTAGATTGCAGTTAGGCTTACCTGATTTTTATGAATTGGTGTGTATGGCAACAACCATGAAGTCTTCTTCAGTCAGACATAACTCAATGCACTGTTGTCATATACTCGGTGTCTCTCATAGCTCAGTAGCATGGTGACAACTGCTTTCAAATAACGCACAGTTCTGTCATGAAATGTTGTGACCGTGTTCCAGGGACTCTACAGGGATTTGTCTATTAGGACTTACTGAAGACTCCATGTGCTCTCTCTATTTGCCACAGAGAGTTTTAGTACCACAGAGTTGTCAGTCACATACTAGAAATGGAATTCTGCTAACCACACACCTGATCTGAAAATTACCCAGTCCAAGGTAGCTTATGTCGCATCCCAGGATGAACTAACTAACAGTCCAATACCTAATTGTTTTCCCTTAGAGGACGTGGAGGTTTGAATGAATATGGACGCTATAGGCTCACAGTGGTGCTACCTGACAGGGATTAGGAGATGTGGCCTTTGAGGAAATGTGTCACTGGGGGAGAGCTTCGAGGATTCAAATGTTTAACCCAGGCCCAGTGTCACTGTCTCTTCCTGCTGCCCACGATCCAGATGTAGACTTCTCAAGTACCTTTCCAGCTCCATGTCTGTCTGAATCCTACCATGCTTCCCTCTGTGACAATAATGGACTAAACTTCTGAACTATAAGCCAGCCCCAATTAAATGTTTTCCTTTATAAGCATTACCATGGTCATGGTGTCTCTGCACAGCAATAAAACCCTAAGAAAGAGGAGGTTCCCTGGCATTCCCAGATCATAGGAAACTTAAAATCCTGATAAGCAGCACTTTGGACCGCTGTAGATTGATTGAATCAACCAGTACCCAAATTGTATATATCTTATCATGGAATCCACTTTTAAAATCATGTTAAATAGTATATTTTCCAAATAGTGGACTACTGTGATATTTCTGGGTGGTTATGGCTGTTTGGACTCTGTTATGACAAAAAGGAGGAAAGTCAGTGTTTTCCTGGTGGTAAAACTGGCAGACGTGTTTTCATCTTTCCTTAGGTGCTAAAATTTATGTATTCACCAGATCAAAGTTCACATAGTAAATAATAAAGATTTGGAAAGCTGGTCTAATAAAGATATAGTGGCCATAATTAGGATTGCTGTATGACCTAGTTCATTGCCAGAGACCTCTCTATTGTGGGG